GTTCTATGTTTACTTAACCATAGAAAATGAGGCAAACTTTATGCAACACAAACTTAAACACGGTCCCCATTTAAACGCAACATTTTCATCATAGAATATATGTTGGCCCATAGACCACCACGCATTCTGTCACTAAACAACACTAGAAACCAGTATCCCCCACCCGCCCCCATAGACCCCTCTCGCCTCATAGACGGTAAAGTTACTATTGATGTAAAGACTAGGAAAGATAATATCAGTGACGGAAATGTAGCAAACTTAACATTAGCATTTAAGATCAATTTATGGTCCGTGAACTCCATTATGTTTAGAGATTGCTTGTAGCATGAAGAGTATAAGGAGTAAGTGCAGTAAACTTACCGAAAGAGGTTAGCATTAAAATTAATCGAGTAAGCATAGGAAGTGAAGCTCTACCGCCAATCACCTCCACCGTACACCCCCGCCTGCATCACCCATTAGCTCAAGTCGGCTAATTTCCAACATATAGGCCTATAAACTTATTAAAAACATGCTTTTATTTCGTGCTATCCCTTTCGGGTCAGTACAAGGGAGGTAACTTCATAATCCAAACAAACATTATTCTACAGTAGCCTCCCTTTTGTTTGTTAAGCTTAATTTAAGTAGTGCACTTCTCAATGGAGATAACAAAGGTTTAAATTCATGTATCCTGTTTCAACTATCGCAACACGTGTGATATGTTGAAAATATGTGAAGTCGTATAGATTCATATGGATCTAGGATCTAGGGAATGTAAACGTCATTTGACGAATGTGTATCAATTATATTAAGATGTTTAATTTAATAAGGCTTTTAGAAAGAGACATAAAATCCCTCCTTTGGTGGTTACCTCCCTTTATAAAATCTACAGACAGCCAACTAACAAATATAATTCTTTATACCGAAACAGATGAGGGACGGAGTGGTCTAGCGGTAAGTTTTGAGTTCGAATCCGGGTTCAAGTCAGTAGACTGTCCCTGAGTCCACCCAACTCTGATGGGTACCTAACTCACGGTAGGGAAAGTAAAGGCGACTGGGCATAATGCTGACCACACTATCTTCATATGCCGAGGTCACAGAAACAAGTGAACTCTAATTCACTTGCCTCATAGACCGTCAGGTTTGAAAGGGAAACTATACTGTAACAGAAATGTTCGATTAACAAAACAATTTTTAAAAGTGTTTTTACTATCATAAAATTTATAAATGTCTGCATAATTTTCTGTGTATACGGTGATTACAGTTTTTTTTTATTCTATAAGCATCAGTACCTTTAATTAAGTTTATCTAATTCTCTCGAAAGGAGACTCGGTCCTAGTCTGAAAGCGATGAATGTGGTAGTCAACAAACTATATTATATATATATAAATATCGTGCGGCGTCAATTCGGCCCAGGACGAAACGGCCCCGTCAAAACGACCCCGACATAACGACCCCGTCAAAACGACCCCGTCAAATCGGCCCCGTCAAAAGGGCCAGCGACATATGGACCCCGTCATATAGGCTCCCGACAAATAGGCTCCCGTCATTTAGGCTACCGACAAATAGGCTCCCGTTATATAGGCTCCCGACAAAAGGGCTCCACTCAATAAGGCTCCTGACAAATAGGCTCCCGTCATTTTGGCTCCCGACATATAGTCTCCCGCCATTTAGTTTCTCCACAAAACGGCCCCCGTCATTACGACTCCCGACAAATAGGCTAGCGTCATTTTGGCTCCCGACAAAAAGGCTCCTGTCAATTTGGCTCTAGACAAAAGGACCACTGACACAGTGGCGTAGCTACCGTAAAGCTAGCGTAAGCAAGGCATGGGGGCCCAAGGCACATAGGGGCCCTTTTCCCTCATAAAAAATTAAAACTTTTACAATGGAATTTTAATATTTGCTACATATAAATAATTTTAAAAAAGAAAAGGTTAAAAGTTCCAAAAAGCCCCCCCCCCCCACCGTTTCGGCAGTGGGATTCAGTGTTTGTGGGTCAAACAGAGCCCAATCGTTATAATAACACTACAGGCTATATCACTTTGTCGTGCAAGACATTGAGAGAATCAGCCTATAAATAAACTTTTTAGCAGTAGTAGGCAAGCATAATAATATAGTATAAATACAAAATCAGGACATATAAAATACAAAATGTTGCCTTCATAATATTTATATATTAAAAAATATCCATCGTAAGTAGAAGTTGATCTCTTCGTTTAACTCCTCTGTAGCCTAACGCAGAGGCGTAGCGAAGGCGAGGCGGGGGGTGCGGACCGCAACGGGTGACACCATTTAGGGGATGGGGGGTGACACCAAAGGCAAAAAATTGTAAAATTTATAGAATGAAATGCCATTTTCCAGATCCATTAGTTAAAGTTAAATAGTCTTCTAAGTACAAATCGAAAATTATATCAAGAGGGGGGGGGGGGGGGGGGGTGTGACACCACGACGTAAACGTAAACTATAAAGAAAACAATGCTACATCCAACTGTATTATAAACAGACTGTAGATAAACATCGTTACTATTAAGTCAGCAGTGATTAAAGCTTAAACACGTACGTGTACCAGTATGTGGCATATATATAAATTTTAGGCCTATGTAGGCCGACACACATATATATATATATATATATATATATATACACACACACATATATATATATATATATATATATATATATATATATTTATACACACACACACACACATATATATATATATATATATATATATATATATATATATATATATATATATATATATATATATATATATATATATATATGCTTTGTTTCCTGGGAGGGGGTGACAATACGAAGTGCCGCACCGGGTGAGACCCGACCTAGCGACGCCACTGGCCTAACGGCTGACGAAGGGGCCCACTGATAATTTTTGCATAGGGGCCCAAAAATCCTAGCTACGCCACTGCACTGACAATACCGTTTCTGTAGAGACTAAGTCTCCCGGAAAAGCGGTCTCATTGAATATGACATCTGCCAATGGGACCCCTTCATCAATATTCTTTAGAGTTAGCTTATCCAACACTCTTATGTAAATACAACGTATGCATCTCTTGTTCGGCAGGCCTTATTTTTATATTAGTTTATCTACCGGGACAGTTGGAGAGACTAGCCCTGGACAGAGACGTCTGGAAAGCTCTTGTCAGCGGCCTATGTCCCAGTAGGGACGACAGGCAAACATGACATGACATGATCTATTATAAAATATAGTATGTTTTAATTTAAGGGTCGTCTATCTATGACATCCATAATTGAGTCGGTTATAGGCTGTTCCAACTCATTGTGTGGGGAGAATGGTCCATGCTGTACCTTCCTAACTGCAATATGCTTGTACAGGGACGTAGCGAGGGGGGGGGGGGGCGGGGGGGGGGGGGTGCGGACCGCACCGGGTGACACCATTTAGGGGGGTGACACCAAGGCAAAAAATAGCAAAATATATAGAGAAAAAGTTGAGGGGGTGCGGGTGCAAATCGAAACTTTGGGGGGGGGGGGGGTGCAAATCGAAAACTTGAAGGGGGGTGACACCATTAAGTGCCGCACCGGGTGACACCCGACCTCGCTACGCCACTGTGCTTGTAGGTTATCAAAACAACATGCTGTTATCATGTTAACATCATGTATATCATACATTTACACTTCTGTACTCGCTTTTAAGCAACAGATCTTTTCTGTTGTAAGTTAAACATTATCAAAACTTTAGAATTGGTGGATTTAGCTGTTAAGGGCTCGATTTGTTTGTGAATTAATGTTGGTTCATGAAAAAATTATTTCATTCGGGCATTAAAAAGAGGTTATGGTGGTATTGGAGGTAGGCATCAATGGTTACTTTTATGCCAATAGTGGTCATGTCATTCATTTTTCTGGAGCCAATATGTCGGGAGTCATTTTGTCAAAAGCCAATATGTCGGGAGCCCAATTGCCGGGAGCCAATATGTCGGGAGCCCTTATGTCGGGAGCCAATATGTCGCGAGCCCATTTGCCGGGAGCCCATTTGTCTTGAACCCTTATGTCGGGAGCCAATATGTCGGGAGCCGCTTTGTCGGGAGCCAATATGTCCTGAGCCTATTTGTCAGGGGTTAATATGTCGGGAGTCCATTTGTCGGGAGCCTAAATATCGGGAGCCCATTTGTCGGGAGCCTATATGTCGCAAGTCAATATGACGGGAGCCCATTTGACGGGAGCCAATAAGTCGGGGCCCTTTTGACGGGGCTATTTTGACGGGGTCGGTTTGTCGGGAGTCGATTTGACGGGGTCGTATTAACGGGGCCGTTTTGACGGGGCCGATTTGTCCCGGGCCGTTTTGACAGGGCACCATAAATATATATATATATATATATATATATATATATATATATATATATATATATATATATATATATATATATATATATATATATATATATATATATATCAGTGGCGTAGCGAGTTCGGGTGTAACCCGGTGCGGCACTAAATGGTGTTACCCCCCCCCCCCCCCCCAGAGGCGTAGCGACTCTTCCCGGGGACAAACTTTCAATTTTCGATTTGCACCCCCCCCCCTCCAATTTCTCTCTCTCCCTCTCTCTCTCTCTCTCTCTCTCTCTCTCTCTCTCTCTCTATATATATATATATATATATATATATATATATATATATATATATATATATATATATATATATATATATATATATATTAATAATTTAAATATGTAGGTCTACATAATATGTATGTGTATATGTGTATTTGAGCTAAGTATAAAGAAGCCTATGTGTAAAGTAGAAAAAAATTACTATTGTGCTGCACCTTTTAACACGTATGTAATTAACATTTAGGTGTGTTCCTTATAGCAGGTGGGCAAACACTTCTCCAGATACAACAATTTACCTTCTGCTATCAAGCTGAGGACGCCTCATGTTGACTTTTATCTGATGTTGACATGGTCGCCATGACGACAATCATGGCCGCTCGACTGCCCGAGGTTTGTCTCGAACACAACACAGCAGGGAAAAGGGGGCGCTACTCTCCGTTACCTAAATGAAATGAATGGGGAAATAATTTTCTAAAGGCGAAATAAAAATCTATAAAAATATTTTATAGTAACACTATCTTCGCTGTACGGTCGGGTGACATGTAAGAACGCCTACGACGCATGCGTGGGTCTGTTTAATTTATTCAAGCTAGTTGTGACACCGCTTTGTGCTTGAGCTCATAGGTTTTAATTTGTTTCGTCAATTCTAATCTAAGTTTTTTACGGGATATGCTTAGCGATAATACAAGGTAAAAATATAAAAGACTCTTTCATTGGATGTGTTGTATAGTTAAGAATATCTCATTACAAAGCAGATTATGTTAAATATAATTAGATTTATGTAAGAATTTCTTATTTATTAATGATCTTGTGTATTCTATTTAAAAAGCAAAAAAAAAATATTAATTGAAATTTTTCTTTGTTAATAACTCTTACAATTTAGTGAAAAATGGAATAGAGATTATAACTAAACCAGATATAATGTTGTTTTTACTTTCTCGTATATACGAAGTATAAAGAAAGTCTTGTAATCGTGCAAAAGAAATCGAGATTTTTTACAAATCTCGACGTTTTACACCTCACTGATACGGAAAAACATAATTTTGCAATTTTGTCCGTCTTTCTGTGTGTCTGTCTGAGTGTGTGTGTGTATGTCTGTGTGTAAACAAGATAACTTGAGTACCGTTACAGCTAGGTTGATGAAATTTCATATATAAGTATTTTATCAAAATCGTAGATACGTATCAACTTTTGAGCTATTTCCGATAACCGGAAGTGGTACTTTTTCTAATTTGAATTTTTCAAAAGCCTATAACTTGAGTACTATTTCAGATAGATAAATGAAATTTCACATGTAAGTAAAAGATCTAATTTTCTACCTTCTGTCAAATTTTGAGTACTTTCCGTTGACCGGAAGTACTAATTTACGCTATTTCCGATTTCTCAAAAAACGCATGTAAATTTATAAAGTACTAATAATATTGCGCACTATTATGCACATTTTGTTTTGGCGTTTGCTTGGTGCGCAATTCTTTTTTCTATGAGATTGTATTCTATTTTTAAAAGTTTAAGTAATTTAAAATCATGTCTATATTCCAAGTTATATAAGAATATTCGAGAAAGTTTAGGGGAGATCACTCCCGGTTTATTTTAAGTTAGCTTTACTACACTAGCATAGTACAAGAAATATCAAGCATACAGTGAACATACACATTACCCCATAAATATGGCTATAGAATCAATTTCATGGCAGCCTAGAGCTATACGTACACATTAATATCGTTGGTTTTAAACGTGTGATAGTCAAAAGAAATATCGATTTTTTTTAGAAAAGGTTTGTTTTGATGCCTTTAAGCTATGTATACCTTGGGCTAGTAATAAATTTGATTTGTTTTAGAGAGTTGATAAATTATGTGACGCCATTTAAGCTGAATTTTATCTGTTTTGTCACTTGCATCACAAAAAGACTAACACCATACTTTTCCGCATCTAATTGTGCCTTTTCATTTTAAAAAAAAAACTCGATCTGCACGCATCCATTTTGAAATTATGCTTAGGAAAATGTATGTATTGTTTCTTATTTCTAAAGGGCAGGCGGGGTAGAGTTTACCTGTTTTAGTGGCCTTGGTATATGAATAGATAGTATGGTCTGCATTATGCCCAACAGCATTTGCTTTTCCTAACAAGAGTCAGGTACTCAAAAGAGCTGGGTAGACTCAGGGACGTCCTGTAGATTCAAGTCGAGACCGAAATCCAAACTCGAGACTTTCGGATTGGTAGTCGAGTGCTCAACCTCTTAACCATGCCGTCCCATCATCCATCATTAAATGAAAAATATATTTTTATTTAAAAAATTTGGTATCCATTTAAGTCTCACGTATTTAGAAAATAAAACATCATCCCCTCTTCTGTAGAGTACACAGCGGTTTCTCATGAACTAATACGATAAAACATTTTAACACAGGATATTTTGAAATAAGACAGAGGAACTAATACGATAAAACATTTTAACACAGGATATTTGACTTGAAATAAGACAGAGGAACTAATACGATAAAACATTTTAACACAGTATATTTGATTTGAAATAAGACAGAGGAACTAATACGATAAAACATTTTAACACAGGATATTTGATTTGAAATAAGACAGAGGACGGATTTGAACCTTAACCCCTGGAGTAACCCCCGCCATGTCAGTAGCTGAGGCGCTGGGCCACACCGAAAGAACCCCCAACTCAGACGTCAGACGACACAAACATTTTCTTGGCGCCAACCAAAACAACCCCTGCCTCGTGCCAAATGAACGTAAGTGACCTAATTAACGACTTTGTTATAAGATCAGTTCATCGTGACCTTTGAATCAATGACTGATCTAAAAATAGTTGAAGTAAAAAAAAAAGTAAGCCGCAATGGCAAGCAAGTGCAAGTGATAGATCATTATAACAACAGCGCCTGTGCTTATTTTACCACCGGGTTGCCAGATATGGCACCATAATGTTCGCCAAAAAATATTAATGATTATATATACATACATATAAAATTTTTATGCGATTGTGTATGTGTGTGTGTGCGTGCGCATATATTGTATGGTGTCACACGGTACGGTACTGTTCTTATAACCACACAACCTTAAAAAAACTTTTAACCCCTCTACCATTTCCATTTTATTACTGGATAGAAGATTGTTTTGACAAAAATTGTTTACAATTTCCGATTTGGTGTCACCCCTTAAATGATATCGCCAGTTCGGACTGCACCCCCCGCACCGCCCCCCCCCCCCCCCCCCCCCCCCGACCCAGGTTAAAGATCACCATATTAGACATATGTAAGGTTAAAGATTACGATATTAAACATATGTAAGGTTACAGATCACCATATTAGACATATGTAAGGTTAAAGATTACGATATTAGACATATGTAAGGTTACAGATCACCATATTAGACATATGTAAGGTTAAAGATTACGATATTAAACATATGTAAGGTTACAGATCACCATATTAGACATATGTAAGGTTAAAGATTACGATATTAGACATATGTAAGGTTACAGATCACCATATTAGACATATGTAAGGTTAAAGATTACGATATTAGACATATGTAAGGTTACAGATCACCATATTAGACATATGTAAGGTTAAAGATTACGATATTAGACATATGTAAGGTTACAGATCACCATATTAGACATATGTAAGGTTAAAGATTACGATATTAGACATATGTAAGGTTACAGATCACCATATTAGACATATGTAAGGTTAAAGATTACGATATTAGACATATGTAAGGTTTAAGATCACGATATCACACATATGTAAGGTTAAAGATCACGGAGATATTATTCTTCGAAATCAATGATATAAAAAATCAATTCTGCGAGTACCAAAGAGTCTGATCAGAGTCTTCAGGAGAAAGACAATTGAACTGGGAATTTTAAATATCACGTGGGCTATCAGCTGTTTGATTACAGGGGTCTCCAAACTTTTCAGTCCGAGGGCCGCGTTAACTTTCAAATTTTAGTTCGGGGGCCAGTTTCTTACATGCATGTCTTTGATTTTTATGGGCAAAGTTCCTAAGCCATCACCAACTAACGATTTTTCTTGGACAAAAGGATCTCCGCGGGCCGGATGAGAGGACTTCGCGGGCCGCATCCGGCCCGCGGGCCGTAGTTTGGAGACCCCTGGATTAAAACAACAAACCTCAAATAGACGCTGATGTTAAGTTCTGTGTGTTTTACGGCTTGCGAGAAAGGGAGTTAATTATACCATTTTTTTTTTTTTTTTTTGTATTGTGCCAATAATGATTGTAAAAGTCAAATCCTTATGTGCAAGGATGTAGTTTTTAATGTTTGAAAATATTTTCTTGTTTCACAACGTAGCTATATTTTTAAAGAAGACGAGCATTTAAATTAACACGTTTCTTAAGCATCTTCAAAACACAACAATATTCCATTCAACAGCAAATTTGAAAAACCAAGTTATATTCTTTTACTCTAATTTAGGAGTGCCTTTAATCAATTTTGTTTAGAGACTAATTTCCATCTTAACGAATGCACCAGTCGGATAGCAAGAGTACTCATTAGCATGGTGCAGGGGTCGGCAACCTGCGGCTCGCGAGCCGCATGCGGCTCTTTTGATATCAAGATGCGGCTCTCTAGCTCCTTGCTCAAATACTAATAATCTTAATCAAAAAATTAAATATTTGAAATAAAAAAATGTTAGTGGCTCTTTAAAACTAGTGAAATTTTGAAAATTGTAACTCTAGGCTCTTCCGCTTCAAAAGGTTGCCGACCCCTGGCATGGTGTAATGAGTATGTGGGTGTTGGGGGGGATGTTAAAGAGATAACTTAAGCAAATAATGACCAAACAGTCAAATATAATCTCGAAACCACCTATAACACTTTTTGTTTACTACGTAACTAAGATTACAAATGTGTTAATATGCAAGTCCATATCGTTTTCCGCCATGCAATGTTATGTCTATCAATGAATATAAACAACGGTGATTATAGATAGATAGCTAATACGTTTGTTTACAAAATATGCATGTATTTTTGTTACGAAGCCTTCAACATCTAAAAGAAAATGTAATCCTCTTATCTGGGATTATAATCCGACACGTAGTTTTTAATTTACTACCCGACGTAGGATTTCTATTTATTTCATTACCTTACACTGTATAATTAAAATGTTCTATTGCTGAATCCACAGTACCAATTATTAAAACATAATTATATATATATATATATATATATATATATATATATATATATATATATATATATATATATATATATATATATATATATATATATATATATATATATTCAAGTGCATTAAAAATATATGTCAGCATTAATCTAGGTCAACTTAACATCATGAATATCTATTTTAACTTTCCTATTCTGTTGTGTCTGTGGTGTTAGCGCAATATTGAACCTGAACCTCAAAACGACAGAGTGGGTCTAGCAGTGATTGATAGCTTATCGAACCAATCAATAAATCGATACCCTTACAAATCCCCTACGCCTGTGAACAGGGGGTGAATCAGGGCCGTTTTGTGCGTAGGGTTGGAACTTTACCTGCGTGACTTAGAGGGGAAAAACTGTGCATAGCTTTTAACAACGAAAAGCGTGTTCAAATTGTCTGACAGAGTAGTCGATCCTTAACTTTAGTTATACCTCGTTAACTTGGGGATATTAAAGTAAGACAGTAGTGTGTTGTGAATTGTTGCCCTATGACTCAAAGTTGGAAAATAAAACACCACTTCTACTTTCACCACCCCCACCTAATTTACACCCAACTAAACTCGTCCACTTGCCCCATCCCCCATACTTGCCCCTCCCCCATCAAACTAGACTCGTCTACTTGTCCCCCACCCCCCCCCCCCCCACCCAATTAAACTCGTCTACTTTTCCCACTCCTACTCCACTCAACTAACCTTGTCTAATTGCCCCCCCCCCCCAACCATACTCACAGCCAACTAAACTCGTCTTCCCCCTCCCCCCCCCCCCCCCACACACAAACTCGTCTACTTCTCCACACCCACTTAACTAAACATGCACTCGATATAAGACTCATATATACGAAGCAAAAGATTAGCGTTTAATTTAACGACATGATAAGATGTAAACAGGCGTAGGGTAAGAGTTATAGTATTATATTGTGTCATAACTCATCAATAGAGTTGTGATTTTTTATACTGCCACCATAATAAACTGTTCATAAAATGCTTGACCTTATCTCTTAAATAAATTATTATGCATTCACAAAGTTAATACAATGCAATTTTTTTTAAATATAATAATTAAATTATGGGTCTTAATTAATTATTTTTTCATATAAATTTCTAACAAGAAGCCTATAGAATGTATTCTATATTTCATTTTCTTCTCATGCACATACGCGCACACAGATAAACAAAAACAACCTCAGAACAACAACAAAAACATATTATAAAACTCAAACAGAATCTATGTAACTGTATATCCTGACTAATTGAAAATCTTGATTACTTAATTTGGTATGCATGGCTGGTTGATAAAATATGCATGTGTGGTCATAGTTTGTTAGTGTCCTGGCGGTAATGAATTATGACGCACACCTGCCGTACACATGAGCCACCTAATTAAGACACAGACTCTCTTGTGTATATCTGAGCCACCTAATTAAGACAGAGACTTTCTTGTGTACACCTGGACCACCTATTTGGACATAGTACTGAAGCACTTAATTGAGACATTGTACTGAAAGACCTAATTAAGACATAGTACTGAACCACCTCATTAAGACATAGTAATGAAACACCTAATTAAGACAAAGTACTGAAGCACCTAATTAAGACAGACTATCATGTGTACACGTGAAGCACCTAATTAAGACATAGCACTGAACCATCTAATTAAGACATAATAATGAACCACCTAATTAAGAAAAAGTACTGAAGAACCTAACTAAGACATAGTACTGAACCACCTAATTTAGACAAAGTACTGAAGCACCTAATTAAGACCTAGTACTAAAGCACCTAATTAAGACAAAGTACTGAAGTACCTAATTAAGACAAAGTACTGAAGCACCTAATTAAGACCTAGTACTGAAGCACCTAACTAAGACATAGACTCTCCTGTGTACACATGAAGCACCTAATTAAGACAAAGTACTGAACCACCTAATTAAGACACAGTACCGAAGCACCTAATTAAGACATAGCACTGAACCATCTAATTAAGACATAATAATGAACCACCTAATTAAGAAAAAGTACTGAAGCACCTAATTAAGACATAGTACTGAACCACCTAATTTAGACAAAGTACTGAAGCACCTAATTAAGACCTAGTACTAAAGCACCTAATTAAGAGAAAGTACTAAAGCACCTAATTAAGACAAAGTACTGAAGCACCTAATTAAGACAAAGTACTAAAGCACCTAATTAAGACAAAGTACTGAAGCACCTAATTAAGACAAAGTACTGAAGCACCTAATTAAGACAAAGTACTGAAGCACCTAATTAAGACAAAGTACTGAAGCACCTAATTAAGACAAAGTACTAAAGCACCTAATTAAGACAAAGTACTGAAGCACCTAATTAAGACAAAGTACTGAAGCACCTAATTAAGACAAAGTACTGAAGCACCTAATTAAGACAAAGTACTGAACCACCTAATTAAGACACAGTACCGAAGCACCTAATTAAGACATAGCACTGAACCATCTAATTAAGACATAATAATGAACCACCTAATTAAGAAAAAGTACTGAAGCACCTAATTAAGACATAGTACTGAACCACCTAA